TTGGGAGTTCACATTAGTAACAGACCAGGCCCCACTAAGGTGGCTCAGCACAGCAAAAACAGACAACATTCAAATTATGTGGTGGGCTCTGGCTCTCCAACCCTTTAAATTTCGAATATTACACCAGCCAGGAGTAAACAACATAATGGCAGATTTCTTGTGTAAATGCAATGATACATCCCAAGATGTCACTGAAAGACAAAAACAGACGGAAGCACGGGACAGGACAGGTAGGATATCAACAACCCCAAACAAACCGCCCCAAGGCAACTTAAGGGGGGGATTATGTCACAGGGAAAATACAAAGGGGGAACCCCGGGGACAGGAACCCACAGAGGGGAACAGAGAAAAAAGCCAGGGTAAAGGGAAATACCCACAACGGGACCCGCGGTGAAACCAGAACCCGAGGAAGAACCCACGCAGATCATCAGCCGCGCCTTTATACAGCTGCGGCCAGCTGATGATGTCAGCGGCGATCACCGGATGGCAGAAATAAAATGGGCTGCCGGCAAAGAGGAAGGGGGCAGAGTGGTGCCGGCAGGGGCACCAGCAGCAGGTGTCTGTTCAAAGCTCCCATGGGAGTGAGGAGAGCTGGAGGCTGCTTTCCCCATCAGGGAAGAACCCTCCAACACGAGCTGCAAGCCAGACGCTGCTAGCTGCAGCGGAAGGAGTTGATAGCCGGAGGCGGCTCCCTACGGCTGGGAACCTGGGTACAGGAGCAGAAGGGTGCAGAGAGACCCCAATGCCAGTGACTATAACGGAGGGGCCGGAAAGGCTAATGCAATCCCGTGTGCCAGACCAGGTGAGACTGTTGGGGGCAACGGAGAAGCCAGAGAGGAGTACCAAGTGGGTGAAGTGAGGCAAAAGCAGTGTGGAGAGCTGCGAAGCACGGTCATCAGCAGCGCGACACCGACCCAGCAAGTAAGTAGAAGACAGGCTCCCGAGGGACCACAGGGGGTCCAAAGACACAAAAGGCTGGGTGTCGGGGGAGAGGAATAGTGAGGGGAGAGCCCACAGGCCACCCCGGCCACATACAGGGCTTAACCTAGACCCATTGTATTGAAGGCCGGATGGTTGGCAACTTAGCAGAAGGACCCAGCAAGGGAACAGTCAGATCCCTCGTAGTGCAATATTAGGTTTTCTTTGGGTTTTATGTTTCCCCCTTTTGGAGGGTCTGAGGATCGGAGCTCTTGTTAGGACCTTAGTGTTAGGTAAACCCCGGGGTTGTTTTCTGGCCTTAGGGAAAAAGTGGCAGTCGAGCAACCCGGGCAGGTGACCTTAGGCCACCTTAGCGGTATCAGGGAGAATCCCCCCTTACAAAAGTGATCAGGATGCTCAATGGTCAGGAGCCTGGCCGGGAGGACAACCGTGACCCATCTAGGCTTGGTGTAAGGGCAAGGTATAGGGGAGGTGGAGCCTCACAGAAGATCGCCGGATAAACGTCCCACCATCTGGAGACCCCACTTGGTCGGACCCTCCACTGAAATAATATGCAAAGTCATGGTAGGCGAGATTGGGGAAGATCATATTGGAAGCAAACACCTTCTTGACGGACCACCGGGGATGGCAAGATGAGCACCATCAAACTTCCGGGCCAGAGCCACACGGGATCGGATGTTCGAGGCCAGACGGGCACACAAGGTATTGTTAGTCTCCTCTGGGGAGATGAAATGCTCTATATTCATTCTTCCAGCATCCCAGGATGCACCATTCCCAGTCCTTCCAACTTGTTTGCTCCATGGGCAAACTTTCAACCTTCCTGAACTCTACTGACTGGGAAGATTATGCTGGATCCAAGCCCACACCCACTCCCACCTCCAGAGGGTGCAACTTCAGTATACCTTGACCACACTGACACCCAGTTGTAGCTCACCAGTTTTCTGTTTGCTATAATGCCCCCTCTCCCCCAGTGGGGATGCAATGAGCCCACCAGACCTCAGCTCTGCCCCAATATGGCATACATTCAGCAAGCGTGCTAGGCCTCAGCTCTGTTCTGGTGTGAATGCTAACCCAAGTCCTGCCCCAGTGTGGCATACAGCAAGCCTAATTTTCTATGATTCTTATTCTAAGCCTGCTTGGTCTTAGCTCTGTCCTGGTATAAGCACTAACCCAACTTTAACAGGCACCATGTGTGGCCATCACTTTAAGCAGGGAGGAGGCTCTGGAAGCTGCTGAGTCAGCAAGCAGGGGAGCACCTAACCAGAAAGGTGCAGGGCTTAACCAGGAGATAAACCCAGGGCCAGAGCTGGGGAAGGCAGTTACACCCTAAATGCTGACATGGAATGAGCTCCTGAGCAAGCAGCAGACAGATGAAGACTGCACTCCCATGGGTTAAGAGCCTTAGAGCTGAGGTAGGGTCTGGTCATTTAGAGATTGAGACAAGTGAAAGAGGTGATCTCAAAAGGCCCAGGAGTAGGGACAGAGCTCAGGAATAAAGTGGAAATGAGACCAGAGAAGGTCCAGTGCCTGGTGGGGGGAAACAGAAAGGTCCGGTGCCCAGGAGGGACTAGGTAGACGTGAGTATCCAGAATGGGCAAAGTACCTGGGTGTGGGCAGGCAGAGACAGTGGCCTGAGCTCAGGAGAGGATTGGGAAGATTGATGGCATAGGGACTGCAAGTCCCAACAGCCCGAATCACCAAAGCTTTCTGAATCTTTTGTGAATCAATTCAGCGAGCTTCAAATCAATTCAGACCTTTTAATTGGTCCCCTGATTTGATTCAGATTTGGAGATCCGTGCCTCTGTGCAAGACAAGTGGGCAATTACAGCTGAGCCTGTTCACCCCAACTCAGTGGGGTCACAGGAGGGCTGTATGACTGCCAGCTGGGCCAGAAGGGCACCATTGTGTTTCAGGGAGACGGGGGCAGTTCAGAGTCATGGTGGGGTGAAGGCAAAGTAGCCCAAATAACTATAATAGTGTGCTGCAAACAATAAAACTTCATGGTTACCTGGCTTCCTGTGTCTACCCCCATATCCACCCTTGCACTGCTTGATTGTGAAGGTGGATTTTATTCATTGTTTGGCTTCATTTCTCTCTGTTCGTTTTTCCTGACTTTTGCTGCATGGTGCCAGAGGGGAGGGGTTGGTAATCTCTCTTGCACAGATACACGAGGGGTTCCAGAGGTAAACAGGGGGGGCTGCCTGGGTGGGTTGCAACGCACAAGTGCTGGACTGCACACCAGCATTTTGCAAAGGCTTGTGTGTCACCCCCCCCAGCAGCCTGGCTTTCTTTTTTACAAGCCACCAGCCACTTTGCAGTCACCCACAGGGACTCATGCCTTCCCAGGCTATTTGGCTCACCCTTCACAATACTTCCTTGCATTTTCCCTAGACGGAAACTTTGAAAATGTGTTTTTTCAAGATTCTTTTCATGCTCTTTTCCAGCCAGGTGCCAGGCACTGTCTCCTTTGTTTTGGAATGCGAAAGCAAGGCCATGGGTTGGGGTGTGGTGTGGGGTTTAAGACCTGCTTAAACCCAGAGACTTTACAAATGTTTCCACCTTCTTTTTGCGCCTTTTTCTAGCCCAGTACCAGCGTGTCTGGGGTTTTTTCCACACCAAATCAAGGCTGCTGGGGCGGGGGGTGGGGTCGGGTTGCCCCGCGCAAGGATTATAAATTGAGGGAGCAGAGGTTGGGGTGCACGTTCACTGTAGCTTTACAGCTTGATGAGGAGCAAAAAATTCTGATTTGTACTTGCTCCTGCTTGATTTCAGGGCATGGACCTGGCAGCAGGGGAGTGGTTTGCAACCAGCCAGGGGTAGGAGTGGGTGCAGTAGCTTCTCAGGTCAGGACCCATATTTCAGATTGGTTGGCCTCCTCTCCAGGTCCCTCAGTAGTATGTCTGGGGATAGCCATCTGCTGCATAATACTTCTGGCCTCTCTATAGGGAGCAGAGTGCTTTTTGAAAACCTAGTTAGCAGCTCCCTGCTTAGCTGAGACCCATATGATGAGGTCATGCCAATACCTAGTATAGGAGAAGGAAGTATTACAAAGTTCTTGAATTTGGATGAAAATAAGTTCTCCCATAATGATGCTTTCTTTGTATACACTTGATTCTTCAGAGGCCTAGAGGTACCTGAACCCTAGATTCGCAGATTACCCTGGGCTGCCTTGGGAGTGCTGCTCCTTGTTTCCCTCTCACCTTCTCCCTGTCCTTTGAGAAGGCTGAGAGGAGAGATATGGCAAGGGAGGATAAAGCAATTCTGAACAAAATCTGATGAGCTCTCTCTGGGGGGGAGTGGGTTGCAGCCAACTGGGGGGAGGGCGTGGTCTGCAAACCCAGCTCTGAAAGGTGCTGCATGCAGGATTTTGCAAAGAAAACATTCTATTGCACAGAAAGCATTAAAAAACAATTATTTTTCATTGCACCACCTCCCATAACAGGACAGCCTGCGAAGAAAAAACTCATAAAAAAGAAGCTGTTTTGGAGCTGTGGCAGCAGGTGTTAACCCCAATCTCCCACCCCCCTCGGCAGCCATGCATATGAAATGCATTATAATGCATTAAAAACTTACTAAAGTCTTTAAAGACTTGCTAAAAGCTAAAGGTCCTGGGAGGTCCATGCATGAAGAAGTTTTGCAGATTGTTTGCTTGCCACTGAGGGTGGATAGAGTTGTTTAGTCTTTTTTCTTACAGGACATGCTGGCTGCACCGCACCCTAGCTAGCACTTAACAAGCATTCAACCTCCCTCCCTCTGATAACAGTCCACCCTGCAACTCTTTCCAGTAATGCCATGACTCCATAACCCCCTCCCCGCCCAAGCACAGCATCCCTACCAGGCTGAGGCAGGCACAGACTCTGAAAACCAACCCAACCACCCACCCACCCCAAAGAAAACATGATACATATATAAAGCAAAACTAACACACTTTACTGAAAATGCTGCAGCTTTAGCAATAACTATATACAACTTAACAATATAAAAAATATACAAAATGTAAAAAAATTTTAAAAACTGAAGTTTTTTTAACTCTACTCTTCTTTACTATCTTCACTCTACTCTCCTCGTCACTGGGCTGTGGGCTGGTTGATGCCACATGGTGAGTACTGCCCACAAAATGTTTCTGTGAGGAGGGAGAAAAAGGAAGACGAGGAAGAAGATCGGGGTTTGACGCACAGTTGAAAAAACAGACTTTTGCCGCCTCCCCCCCGCGACAAGTTTGGTGGGACATATTACCTAAATATCACCCGAGATGCTGCATATCCTGGGCATCGGGTCTGGCGGGGATTATCCTGCCCATGGACTTTTGGTTGTGGTTCTGAAATGGAATGTGCTGAAGTTCAGAAGGTTTGCAATATTGAAGAAAGTCATGTAACCACTCACTCCAAAGTTTCAAACTACTTGCAAACAACTTATCATTATGGTGTTGCTGCAGCTGTCATCAGGAGCTATGTCCACTGCAGTGGCAGCACACAACAGGGGGTGCGGGGGTCGCAGGTGGAGGGTACATGGCAGAGGCGGGAGGACAGGAGGGTACATGGGCAGAGGGAGAAGACATACACTATAGGTGGCGGGGGGGGCAGAAGAATTAAGAGGGGTAGAAAATTAAGGGATTACTTGTCTCCCCCATTTTAAAATAATAATTGGTCTGAGCAGACCTGTCCTGACCTGAACTGCATGCTGTGAGGGAGGAGGGAGGAGTGAAGGAGGGTAAAAATACAATGCACAGCAGCACCTACTAGCTAAAGGCTGGAACACAGCACCCCCTCATGGCAAAGGAGATTAATTAGAAGTCTTTGGAGTCTCTAACTGTTTGCATGAACAAATCCAATGTTGGAACAGTGTAACTAGAGACCACCACAAATTAACACATCTCCAAGTAGTGTTAGTTTAAGGCGCTAAATAGACTTCAGAGTGACTGGAAATCCCAGGTCGTGCAAACACAAATGTAGTTGTGTCAGCGTAAATGTGAAATATCATTTCATCTACACGTGCCCTATGTAACTTGTGAGTAAATGGTGTTAGACAGGTGCCTACACATGCAGAGAAGCTGGTGCAGATTTGCCGCCAATCTGCTCCTGCTTCCCAGGGCCCTGCAATGAGCCACTGCCACCACTGGGGGGAACTTCAGCTGCAACTGCCAGCAGTTGGCAGCTCTCTTCAAAAGGCAGCCCCACTCACTGCTCTCTGGCCAGTCATGTCCCTCGCCAGAAGCAGCATCCCTAACACAGGGACAGCACGCAGCAGCACTCTCCTCCCTGCCTGTGCCTCCCCACCTATGGCTGCTCCAGCACCTGCCCCCGGCAGCAACAGCCAGTGCCCTGCACTCCTGCTGGCCGCTGCACTGGCCCTGCTAGCCCACCATGCCAACCGCTGCCTGACCTACAGCTGTCTTGCTCCTCCTGACTTCCCCATGCACAATGACCACCTGCCCATCTTCTGCATGCTATCCCAGGACCACTGCCATGCACCTGCCACCTTGACCCTGTCCATCTGGCCAGACTCCACCAGGGATGCCAACTATGGGCTCCAGGATGCCACCTCTGGGGTCAGCATTGCCCTCCTAGGCCTCCAGCCTCACCACATCTGGGCCCACTGGGCAAGCCAGGAGTGGTGGTGGTACATCGTTCAGCACACCTGGGATGATGAGCAATGGCTGGAGGCATTCTGTATGACCCAGGCCATCTTATAGGACTTTCTGGAGCAGCTCCAGCCTCACCCTGGTGGGTGGCTGCCAGAGGGCAGGTGGGGCTAGGGTCAGGGGCTGGGTAGCAGGCAGCATGAAAGTGACTACCAGGGCCAGAATGGTGTCTAGTACCTGATGGTCATTGTACATGGCCTGCACTGCCCAGGTCAGGATGATGTTCTTCTCCCACAGCACCTTCACCCGCCCACACTGCAGGGTCAGGAGCTGCACTCAGAGCTCCCAGTCTGCCCAGTCTTGGCAACATTTGTGGGTGATGTCCTCTGCTTGCCACCTGTCCTGGTGGGCCACATCCTCAAACTACCAGGCTTCAGTGTCCTCCAGCCGGTCTTCTGATGCCATGACCAGGGTGTCCAGGAGGAGGATCCTGGTGGAGACAGCACATACACAGAGCCCTGGCTGTGGGCGGCAGCGACCTGGAGCCCACATCTCATCTGCCAAGGGTGGCCTCTCCTATGTGTTCAGCTGCAGGCCCTGTAACCCATGAGACAGAAGCTGTTTGTGAGTATTTGCAACACTTCAGAGATAAGATGCTCTGTACTGGGGCTTTGTACTGCCTGGCCTCAGATCAGGGGTTGGACATGCACAGGTGGCAAGGGACTACAGTAAGTAAGTCAGGCAGGCAGGCCCAGGCCCAGGTGGGTGCTGGCCAAGCTCCCTGTCCCCGCTGTCTCCCCTGAGGCCAGTGGGCTGCTGGGTGCTGGCCACAGGCAGCCTGCTTCCCCTGACCCATTCCCAGGCTGGGACAGGCCAGGATTCTGGCAGCACCTGCTACCGCAGCTCCAGATCCCACTCCCCCGCCGCCTCCTGCAGGTCACCTGCTCTGCTGTGTTGTCACTCAGCACACAGCACCCAGGCTTGGTGGGTGCAGGGCTTCCAGATGACTGGGATGAGGAGCTGCCTGCACTTTTACCCTCCCCACAGGGAGCCTCTGTGGGAAGGTACCCTGGGACCAGCCCCCTCACCTATGCCATCACTATGCCCCAACCATGCCCCCACTGTACATGCTCCAGGCAGTGCAGGAGGAGCTGTTTGTGTGGACCAAGGGGTGCCCAACCCACTATGCCCAGGCTGCTTGGGGGTGGGCTGCAGGCAAGTGGACCTGGCCCCAGCAGCCAGAAGCTGCCTGCAGCTGGGCCTGGGAGCTGGCAGGCCTGGCTGGATCCTACAGGAGCCTGCAGGCCTGAACAGTGCAAGCCTGGCAGCTGCGCGGCAGTGTGGTGCCAGGCAGCAGTGCTGGGGTGCAGGTAGGCTAGGACAGTTGGCCTGCAGCCTCCCCAGGAGAATTCAGGGGTCTGGAGTAGTCTCAGACTCCCTGCTTGTGTGCTCCAGGGCTCTGAGGCTTTTAAAGCCTGAGACAGGGGCTGCCATAGAAGCAGCCCAGCCCTGGGGCAGGAGAGGCTCCCAGCCTTGATCCTTGGAGCTAGCCTCAGACTGGCCCCCTAGTGGCAGGGCTGCCCCAGGAGCAAACTTGCTCCCAGGTCATGTCTACACATGCATTACTGTGCCATAAGTAATTACACATAAATTTGCTACTTGTATTTGCAGGTAGCAAATTTGCTCATGATTAAGCATTTTTACTGTGCAGTAAGCATGCACACCTGTAGATGTGCATGCTTGGTGTGCAGTAAACTGTGATGCTGTGCAGTTAAGCATCTTGTGTAGACATGCCCAGAGAGAGGCAGATTTAGGGTATAGACAAAGGAAAAATTTCTCATGGGACAAAAGGCTGCAGAAATTAACCATACTGACTGCTATACAGTAACTACCCATGCACATGCTCCTATTACCTCCACAACAAATAGAAGCCCCTATAAGATTAGCCCTCAGGGA